CAAAACCATTTAGAAAGACATAATTTCACAACACCCAGCAGCATTAAAATGCTTTAAAAAATAAAGACAAACGAAGGTTAAAAAGCAATGCATAATAATATACTTAAAACTGCATAAAAAACTAGACATACATTATGATGAGACTGTGCAGCCAGAGAAAAGCTGATGGTACTTGTTATAGCACATTGTTTGCTAGTGCACAATCTTTAATGCCCCCCAATCTCAATGTAAATAAATCGGCTTTCCTTGTCATGGCATCAAACTAGTTTGAACAGATGCCTTCTGAGTACAAATCTACACAGCATGTTGCCTATAGAGAACATGTTCTCTTGATATGAACTGCAAAACAGAAATACTTCTCAACCTTATGGAAGCCAGGATAACAAATAAGATTTATAATAAAGAAAAGATGTAAAGAATTGATTTGCTAAGTGTACTCAGTTATTGAAGAAATTGACCTGAATATTTTGAGCCACACTTTGATCAGAGCAACTACCCCCCCTGCCACACATCTTTTTAAGACCAAAGAACAGGCATAAACTGAAAGTCTGCCTATTAAAACAGCATTATACCAGTACCAGAAAGGATGCCTCCTTGTTATAGTTACGCTATTGTTTTTGTCTTTAGCAAATCAAACCTGCCTTTTTTTCCCTTGAAGATGTAGAAAGTTAAATCAATTTACGAAAGGTTACCAAAGATATTGGCTTTAGCTCTTTTAACAAGAAGCGCTAACATATTTTGCGCATAGTATATGTTTTATATACCCATTGATACAATTTAGATTATTAAAGAGGTTGGCTCCTCTGCTCCGCCTGTCAGGGCCAATATGTACAGGCAGAGCGGAATTCACATCAATGCTTACAGATGGAAACACTCGATAAAATAACTTACCAATGTACAAATTGCGTGCAGCAGGAAAGAATCAAACCATTACACTACAGTTGACTGTGTGTCGTCAACCTTTACTATATCAAATCTAAAGGAGGTGAAAATACAAAAGGAAGTTCTTTTGTAGATAATTATATCATCAAATCAGTCAAGATTTTTTTAATGGAATGAAACGTACCGTATGTGAATAATAATACAAGACATCTCTATGGTTTATCAACAAGACTTAAAAAAAAAACAAAAGAAAAAAAAAAACAACTTCGTCATAATATTCTTCAATCTACAAACTCCTATGCAAACAGTAGTAAGCGCAGCAGAGTGTTGGTGTAGATCTATATATAAAAAAACCATGAATATGTTTTGATAAATCACAATCACAAAAATGCACAGATAAAATCATGCATATTCAACATCCACAAATTGACAGCTTAGTGTAAGACTGCTTTATGCCATTCTGAACAGTGCCGTATCACGGAGTCTTACAATAAGCAGTTGAAATGATTATGAATAAAAATACTCACTCACTCATGCATTTATGTACATCTATGTGTTGTGTATGTGCTTGTGCGCATACACACACACACACACACACACACATACTAACTCACTCACCCATCCACACATTAAACTCCCCC